GGAACCTCCTCAATCCAACAATCACCATTCTCTATCACCTGAGTAATCTGTCTCACCTGTTTACCATGTGACTAGACCTAGGCTAGCATATAAGCTCGGGCTTTAGACTAGTTAGTTTGTGAAGTATTGCTGCTCCTGGCAGAGCTACTGAGCGTTCTTGTATATTTGTTTTGCCTACTTGAAACATCTAATCACTGCTTAAAAATGCCTAGTTGTTATCGCTGAGATCCATCACTATAAAATGGCCCGTAAAATCCAAGCAGATAATGAATTGTCAGTTGAACTAACTGCTTTCCAAGCTATGTTCCCTGTAATTGAATATATTTTGTCCTCACTAGAATCCTCTGAGCAGGTCAGCAGAAAGCTAACAGGCTAACATGCCAACATCAACAGCTAAGGATAGGCTACAAGTTCTAGCCTTCACAGCAGGAGTTACTGAAAAACAGAGACACAAACTAAAGAATATGTTGCCTGTTATGAGATTAAAATGTCTGTATTCAATCTAGAGATGACACTGAAATTCAATAAGTGCCAAGCTTGTAACGTTAGCATACAATAGTGAACTAAAAAGAAGCATTATCATGGTGCTGGTTTATAAAAAAAAAAGAACTAAGCGTATGGACAGATTTCTGCCCTAAACATTGCTGTGGCATCGCTTTATGGTTTTATGCTTGTCCCTGACTCAGTGTAAACACAATGAAAAAGTTGAAATGAAATGACTTTATTGCTGCAAGTAATTCATGTAGGCTATAAACAGAATAATGTTTTTCTCATGCAGGTTCAGGTTTCTGTTGACAGGTTGATTACAAACATCAGCACTAAAGCATTCAAGCCAGGGGTGTAAAATGGGGAAAGAATGTTGTATTAAGCTGCATTTTCATCATCATCACCATCATCATCATCTTGAACCGCTTAGTCCAGATAGGGTCATGGATAATTAAATATCTCGCATTGCTTATTTATTTTTTTTTTTTTTAAATCAGTGTGGCAGCGTTTGCGGTCAAGAAATTTACCGAGGAACTGGCAAAAGTGAAATTCGGCCCCTGTCTTTTTTTCTACCCATTTCCAAATTCAAACACAAATTTAAAAACATTGTCATTTTCTGAAAATTTGGTTACTACATGCAAAAAAACTAAAACAAGCTGTGTCAGGATGTCAAAGCAGACAGCTATTACAATGCATCAAGTCATGGGTAAGATATAAATGGTCCATATGCCCTTTTCAAGCCCACCATGGCAGCATCTTATATTTTTGATTTGATTTGATTCATGTATTTAAGTTTGCTGTGTTGTTTTTCCTCAACAATTCCATTATGTTGTTTTTATTGTGTCAATGTCGAGCAGACAGATGCTGTGTAGTCTTTGAAGTGAGGGTGCTGCGGTGCTGGTTGTGTTTATATGAATCCAGCATTCTGGTTTGCTTTTTTTTTGTATCACCACAGGGATGGAGGTGTTGGAATACGTGTGGTGATGACTGCACTGCTGTCAGGAATAGACTACAGCCTGGGGTAATGACACTGTGGGAAATACATGTTTGGAAACTGTAACTACCAAGATGGCCCACTCTGTTTCACAGGCCTACGGCACTGGTTCAAGCATCCCAACAAGGAGGTGGGCAGAGTGGGCCAAGAGATCATGTCCTCTCCACTTTTTGAAATTATGCATGACAAATTTGGGGGTTGGAGGATGATTGTCGAAAAAAGTATATAGCTGAGTTGCAAAAGAGCTTTCAGATATGGATTATTCTGTAGCTCTCAGCAACAGTTTAAAATTGAAAATAACCCAAAATAGACTGTTGGCTGTTCAGTCATAACCAGCCAGTTATAGCCAATGACAAAAACTGCTAACTTGCTCTGGAATTGTTGTCAACACGTTTTACTGTACTGTAATAGTTTGCTGGTTAATTTTTTATAATATTTTTAAAAATCAATTACTTTTTATTTGACCTATTTTACATTGGGTAATTCTTACTAGTTTACATATTCATTTTTTTTACTGGTTTGATGTGTTTCCATGTTTTACCTTTTTACCACAATGTTCATTATTATTTATTATTATTTATTATTCTTTTTGATCCTTTGTTCTCTTTTCTAATGCTAGGCTACATTGCAAATGAGGGTCAGCCTAAATGCACTTTAAATACAGGTTGATTGATTTTGCTATAACAGTTAATCATAGTTATAAAAATAGATGTTAATGAGTAATAAACAATGATCTTACTAATAATAATTTTGCAATTATTAGGGTAATTTGTTCAAATATTCATAGCCACATGCAGATCAGACTTAAGAATTTTAATTACCTAAAATGCTATTGCAACAATAGAATCTATGACATTATTATTACTTTTAATGATATTTGGTTTTGTATTTTAGGATTGACATCTGCAACATGAGATATCAATATGATAAGTGTAATAGTGACCACACTTTGTTCACACAGTCTAATGTTTGAATTGCTGCGTGTAGGCTGTAGTCTCCTGACGACGGCCCTCCCCACGTGTCAGATCAAATTTGCACCCCTGCATGTTAATATATTCTATTTGCACTTCGCCGGGAGTTCTGCCTGCAAGTCACTCAAAGCATCATGGGATGTAAGAATAAGGTGGACGTTTGGTTTTTTAGTTCATTTTCTAAGCGGAAAACAAGGAAATATGACATCTGAGTAGAATGTGGGCCTGTTAAGGATTGCAAACACCACAGACAGACCAGCCTATTGCAGCCTTTGATTACATTATTGCACTGTATCTGCTGCAGAGCGTATTCTGCTTGATTTTTTTCCCCTTTCCTCCTCTTTGATGCATTACCATTGATGGGTATGCAAATGGCCTGTACGTTATTGACAACACCACAGCAGAGAACACACTGAGGCAGTAATGGGCGATTGATGTGATAAGGATGTGCACCTTGTTTGATGTGTCTAAAGCAATTTGGCTGAAACCAGCTGCCTGATGGATGGAGAGAGCACTGATTCCACCGAACGTTCTTCATGGAATATGGGCAGTACAAATACTGCACTGCGGAATAAAACACATAGAAGAATATAAGAGAGGAGTAAATATACATCCGGAACACATGGAGAATTCAATATAATAGCCATCAATAACTTTGAAGAGGAGTTTTAAAGGTTGGGTGTTTATTATTTTTAATTTTATATTTCTTTTTTCTAAAGTTCTGTGATTGTCCATGACCACTGTTTTAATTAAATTTGTCCCCTACTGTTTTCATTTGGACCGTTTATTTATTTATTTATTTATTTATTTATGTATGTTTGCTTAAAGGGCGCATATCCTACATTTATTCTGTACTTTCTTTTTCCTTTGAGGTCCACTTATAATGTTTATGTGCTTTTATGTCTTAATTCCTTATTAAATGACCATTTCCCAACGTCTCTCCCTATCTTAGAATTAAACAAGCTGTTGCTCCTGTGCCTTTAAGACTGATATGTAATTAATCTTGGTTCTGACTGGCTGTTCTGTGTTGAGCCTAATTTAAAATGCAGTCTGGGCTGAAACACTCCTTATAACTTCAACAGAAGTGGGTGGAGCCAACGTGCTGTAGACTACAGGTGGATATAAGTGGATGTAGGTGAATATATTGGTTTTCGTCCATCCATCCATTTTCTAAGCCGCTTATCCTTCTGGGTCGCGGAGGGTCCTGGAGCCTATCCCAGTGTTCATTGAGGGTTGGTTTTCATGACATCACAAAAACAAGGCATTCAAAACAGGCTGCTTTAAAAGCACAGTGAATTGTATGTCTTGAACCTTTGACAGTTTTTACATACAGTAAGAAACTTTTAGGTGAGAAAAATGAAGATGGAAACTAGTCGGCTAGTTTCCAACTAGTTTCCATTCTATATGGCTGTGAAGAGGATAGAATTACTTTGTTTTCTGTTTTATTTTATCCACTGCTGTGGATATTGGAATTTATGTGGATTTCTTTCCCCCAAATTTTCTATTTCCTCTGTTTCTGCTTTTTGCGTATTCCTTTTTTGTCTACATTTATGTATTTATTTATCACTTTTTGTCTGTTTTCTGCCCTTTTTAATCTAACTTCATTTATTCACCGCTTCATTGAATCATTTCATATACATTCATATACATGGACATTGGACCTAATTCACCAATATATTCCTAAGTTTGTTTTCGAATGTGTTCTTAAGAAAGGTCCTAAGAAAAAGTCTACATCAGCTTCATAGCGTGCTCTTAAACCACAGGACTGTTCTCACCGTTGTGCTCTTGAGCGAGTGTAGATTCTGTTCTTACATTAGAACAAATCCTAAATAAGAAAACACTGGTGAATGTCCGAATCTTCTTAAAAGCTGCGTAAATGGGCTTTACGGTTGGTGAATGAGAATGAATTTGTTATTTTCTCTGTTTTCCCTTTTGCTGTCTAATTTGACCTGTTCATATCCATGACGGTCATGAGTTATTGATATTTCCTTCATTTTTCCCCATTTTTATCATTTCCATTTCTACTGGTTTTATTGTCATTTTCTTGTCCAAATCCTTTATATTTTGCTGTTTTCCCTCCTGCTTACATTTATGATCATTAGTAGATTTTGTTTTTTGTTTTTTTTTGCCAAACTTCATTTGCTCTCATCAACGACGATAGTTTTTTTTTTCTTCCTTTTTCCATCCCTCCCTCCAGTGATTATCTAAGCACAGTGTGTTGTTGATGGAAAAGCCCACTGGCGCCGCGTCCAGCCCCATTTGCCCTCGCCAGTTTACCAGCGCTAGAATTAATCAATCTCTCACTCCTCACTCCTCTCCTCTCTCTCTCTCTCTCTCTCTCTCTCTCCACTCTCAGTCCCCCATCAGCTTTGGAGAGAAGCAACAGGAGAGAGCAGAGGGATCTCGTGCGCGTGCAGGACTGGACTGGATCACGAGCCTCACTGAAACCGATGTAATGCAGCGCGCGCGTGAGCAGAGCGTGTGAGTTAGTGTTGAGGAGGAAGCTTTCCTGGCTCTGGCTTTGGAAGCTCGCGCGCTCCACTCGCGCCATGGCACCGTCCCATAACGGCTCTGCGCTCGCGGGGAACCTCACCAACCAGTTCGTGCAGCCTCCGTGGCGCGTGGCGTTGTGGTCACTCGCCTACAGCTCGATCCTGGCCGTGGCCGTGTTCGGCAACCTGGTGGTCATGTGGATCATCCTGGCGCACAAGCGGATGCGCACAGTCACCAACTACTTCTTGCTGAACCTGGCCTTCTCGGACGCGTCCATGGCCGCCTTCAACACGCTGGTCAACTTCGTGTACGCCACGCACGGGGACTGGTACTTCGGAGAGGCGTACTGCAAGTTCCACAACTTCTTCCCCAGTCACCGCTGTGTTCGCCAGCATCTACTCCATGACCGCCATAGCGGTGGACAGGTGAGGGGAGAGTTATTGCAATTACACTGGACATTACATAAGAATAAGCGGGTAGCGGGTAGGTAGGTGCTTGTGTGTGTGTGTGTGTGTGTGTGTGAACATAGATGTTGTGTTTGTGTATGTTCGTAATTAGCCCTTTGTGGGGGCCCACACTGAAAACAGTGATGCACTGAATTGACTTGATCCAAACATGTATATGGATATTACAGAACACATCAAAACCACTGACTCTTTCAGTTTACTTAGTTTGTGCAATTACTATGCTGATGTATTTTATTCATATGTAAATGATGCATGTTTCTGAATCAGGTCAGTTCAACAGCAACAATTTGACATTGTGGGGACATCTGGACATTCATATATACTGTATATATACAAAAGCTCATATCTGCATTTTTGTAGTTTTTCAGTTTTTGACATAATTTGAAAATGCCTGTTGCTCTTTATGTTGTGTGTAAAGTTCATGATGAATGGACTAAAAGAAATGGGCTTGGAAAAAGTCTGGTTCCATTGACTTACATTAAAAGTAAACTAGGTTTTTTCCTTCTCCTGTAAAGTTATAATTTTGGAGATTTTCTTCTGATAACCGGGACATATATACACATATGCATAAAAAATTGCTGCAAAAAATTGCTGCTTTTATTAGGACAAAGTAAAATCCAAAGCTGATCTTTTAGTTTTAGTTTAGATGAGGTGTTGGTGTTGAAGCTTTTATTTACAGTCATACAGAAAGTCCTACAAAATAGTCCTACAAATTATGCATAATTTGCCCCTTTCGGCCACCAGATATGCCTTGGATGACGAACAACATGTTTTGGCATTGCGTGGACATTTGGCTGGTGTCCGTTTGGAAAATGCTGCATTCATTCAGTCCTTCGTTCATTCATACATGCATTCATTTATGCATTTGCAGCTTTTGTTAGAAAAAAGTGAAAGTCCACAGCACCAAAATCAGCATTTAGCTTACAGCCATGTAGAAAGTAATTGAAATACCAATGACAAGAATACAAATGTGACAAGTGTGTGCGTGCATTTAGCTCTTTGATGGGACCAAATGTCCCCACAATGGAAAATGTAATCATTGAATTAACTTCACTCATAGGTGTACATTACAACATTTCACATCAACACTGCGCTGTCTTTCAGGTTACTTGCTTATGGAAATCACTGTGCAGTTGTGCTGATGTAACACAGTTTATTAATGTAGAAATGATGCTTGATTAGAATCAATTAAATCCAAACCCAAGCATGTGGCAAATGTGGGTGTGTATTTAGCTGTCTGGGGGGACCTAATGTCCCCAGGATGTTGAAAAACATGAATATTTTGACATTGTGGGGACATTTTTTGCTACTGCCTATGCGGAATAAAAAACCTTTTAAGCTTCAGGAGAAGTAAAAGAGGCCAGAGCTGGTCAAAGTTTAGTGCTGGGTTAGGTGTTACACAGCAGCATTAAGATACAGTCACACAGAAAGGCAATGGAAAAAAACCCCAATGAAAACAGGAATACAAATGTGACAAATGTGTGTATGTGTATATTCTGTTTAGCCCTTCCCTGGTACCCAGTGTTCCCAGGATGGTCTTATATATCGCTGTTGTCGGAAGAAAACCTTGTATCTCCATTTTTGACGTTTCCAGTTTTTGACATAATTTGAAAATACCTGTCGCCCTTTGCATTATTTGTAAATTTCATGATGAATGGACTAAAAGAAATGGCCTAAAATCATTTGGAAAAATGTCTGGTTCCACTGACTTACATTAAAAGTCAACTATTTTTTTTCCTCCTCCTGTAAAGTTATCATTTTGGAGATACAAGGTTTTCTTCCGACAACAACAATATGAACATGTTGACATTGTGGGGACATTTGGCAGGTGCAGTTGTCCAAAATTACCTTTTTTTTTAAATGGAAGAGGGTATTATTAGAAAAAGAAAATAAATCAAAATATTATCTCTTAATTGCTGAGGTTAAGGTTAGGTTTAGAAATAGGTGTAGCACAGAAAAAATCAGCTACATTAGTACAGAAGGCACTGGATTATACCCCACAAAGGCAGGAATACCCATATATATGTGTTATGTTGTTGTTGTTGAGAATTTCTGGGAAGCTAAGAAGATAAGCACTTGTTCTAGCCTGGAGTTCACAAATGCTTACTTATTATGAAGCATTCCAAAGCTAGGAGAAATGTTCTTTAGCTGCATAATATGTATTTTACTCTTAAGACCACCTCTTTACATTCAGAAACAGCTTAGGGCAGACTATGTCGCAGCACTTCTGTTGGAACTGAAGACTGCTCACACGATTGCCCATTAGCCAGCTCTAATAACTTATTTACAATATCTCCAGGGGGCGGTATGGGAGAAGCAAACAGTCATTCATTCTCACAGTGGAATTCTCTACCCAACAATGTTGCCATTGCGTAAACCATATCAGTATCCTACAGAGAATACCTCATTGCTTTTCAGGGATAGAGAACTTGTCAGGGTTTATTTGCCATTTTTAACAAGTATAATGCAATTGACACAGTCCACTGGGTTCTGAGGCGTTTGCTTGAATCTGATCATTTATTATCCCTCTCTGTGCTCCAGAACCTGTTCTAATGCCAGTCATGTGATCAAAAAGACAAATGACCATGCTTATACAAGAAAATGCCACCTTGTTTTACAGATGAGGTGTTTGGGTTGTCCTGGATCATAAGCAGTTTCTTTTTTCTCTCTATATTTTCCTACCACACTGCCCAGAATACTTCATATAAGAATTCTCACTTATACTTTTCACCTCCAAAGTTCAGTCTTAGAAGTTGGTCGCATTTTCTGCTTCTCACAATCAAACATTCGGTGATGTTGAGGTCTGGACTCTTGGGTGGTCTGTCCATTGTTCTGAGTTATGTTCTTCTCAGTAGCAGCTTTTTGACAGCTATTCATCCTTTCAGACTCATAGTGTTGAGTTGTCTTCTCACAGTGGAAGGATGGACAGAAACACCTGTGGATTTTTTCAGATTTGAAGCAAAAGTGGAGCTTGATTTTCTCCTCTCTCTCTTAAAGTTGAAAGCTTTAAGTGCTGTTTATCTGATGGGCAGAATCTTAAATACAGTCCTAGAAGTTGGTTACATTTCCTGCTTCTCACAATCCAGGTGATCCTAAACACATTCAGTGATGTTGAGGTGTGGTCAGTCCATTATTCTGAGAACACCAGCAGCTTCTTTGTTTGAAGTGCATATTTTCTTATTTTTAGGCAATTCTAGATTTTTCCCCTTTAACTTACATTGAAAGTAAATGTGAAAAAATGTTCCCACAGATACTTCCTACACACAATAGAGGTGGATAGAGTAAAAAAAAAGACCAAAAATAGATGTTAAAATGGTTCTTTAGAGTGATACCACTGCTTTTGATTTAAATACTTGATTCTTGAAATAACTATTCATGTAAATGACAAGTGTGGGTGTAAAGAACCTGTTTTGAAGTCTGAAGAACCCCAGCAACATGTAAAGCTTCTATACCAATAAAACCTTATCATTTGTTATAATTTTTTACGGGGGCATTCGTGGGCTGGAGGTTAGGGAACCACACCTCCAGGCCAAGAACCATTGAGGAACCTTTATTTTTAAGAGTGCAAAGGGTTCTTTGTGTGTCCATGGTTCTATATAGAACCATTTTCTTTCCTAAGAAACCTTTGAAGCACCACCCTTTTTAGAGCATACCGTAACAATCAAGCACCACACAATCATGGATGATTAGCATATTTTCCACTGATCAAGCCCTGACTGCATGATACGTTGCAGTAATGGTCATTCATTCAATAGAAACCTCCATAAGTGGCTGCATGTACTTTGGGCATTAATGCAACTGTCAACTGTTCTATGAATGAATACTGATAAATCATGTGGGGACATTCAGCTCAAGTAAGTGGCTGGACTGGATCACTGGTGAGGCAGATACATGAAGTGCTATTGCCAAAGAAAACATTTTAATCAGCCAGCCTTTTACATCCTTAGGAAAGGAGTCAGAAGTGTTCTTTGGACACCACAGAGGAACCAGTTTTTGTTCCTTTAGTCCTTTAAAATCTCAAGCTTATTACATAAAAAGGCATACTATTCACTAATTACAGGCACTTCAATCCAAACTGGTTCTTAGGTTATAGAAGTGTGTAATAAGACTTTGTGCCCGCTGGCAGGCCCTGGTCATGTAAGGGCTTAATACCTAAGTAACAAATCTAGAGTTTAGGGAATACTGAGCCATTTTGTATTTAAATGTTGATTTAAGACCTGAGGGCATTTACAAGCCCTGCCTCAGTGGCCTTCTCCCATAACTGACATATCCTCAGAGGACCTGAGATGGCCTGTCTACAATGTTAGAACATGTTTTGCCCCCTGGCACTGTTCTACGATCTGCCTTAGCACTGAACCTATGAGGACAGTGCTGACTTGTGGAGTCGTTATAGAAGTTATTGAGAATAAACTGGACAGAGTCGTGCACTTTTGAGGAGTTAGAAGGTTAGATTTATTTCAAAACGTCGTCATACAATGATGTTCGCAGAACACCAGTTTGGTTCCTTCTCCCACAGAGATTAGAAGCAAACAACAGCTGTACAGAGTGTTATCACCCTCAACTGGCCCAAACAATCTCCCCTCCCTAAGTACCAAGGTTGTGTACCCGTGATGGAGAGGCATAGAAAAGTACAAACCATTCTAAGATGACCTAAAACGATCAGGCCCTTAGAGACAGCATGACTATTCTGATAGACAGAATAAGCATACAGGAGTTATACAATTAACCACTTCCAAAAAATCCCCCTGTGATTATGTATAAAAGAAAATGATTAAAAAAAACATATTATGCTCCAGGCATGCTCAGTTCTCAGAGCAGCTGCCTTTTTAGACAGTTTCACAGATTCTTCAAATTCTCTGCATAATTCTCTGCATAATGTTTGAGATGGGAACAAAGTCATTCATAGTTGCATCGCGAAGCCATTTAGCAATTCTTTTTTTACAGTACACTCTTAAAAA